TACTTGAGTGCGAGCAGGGGAGGGACACACAGAGAGGGAGAGAGAATCCCAGGCTGGTTCCTCGCTGTCAGCAAGGAGACTGATGTGGGGGCTTGATCTCACGAACGGCGAGATCATGACCTGAGCTGAAACCAAGAGTCGGATGTTTAACTGACTGAGCACCCCCCCACCCCCGCCACCCAGGCACCCCTTCAAGCATTTTTATTCCGCAGTTGACAAAGTTTTGTAGCACAAATTCTCATGCATACTTATTTATGTATTAGAAACATAATGTATCAGTTACTTTGAAAAATGTGCCTTCAAAATATATCCGGAGTCTGACCAGTCCTCCCTACCTGTGCTACCAGCCTGGTCCATGGGATTATTGCAGTTCCCTCCCCGACTGGTTTCTCAGCTTTTTCCCTCTGCCTCTTTCCCTCCAGGTTGTTTCCACTCTGGAGAGATTCTCTTAGAATCGGAATCAGATTTTGTCAGTCCTGTTCTCGGATCCCTCCAAATAGCTTTCCTTTTCCTTTAGAAGCTACCAAAACACTGCTCTTTATCCTCCTGAGTGTCAGAAATTGCAGAACTACAGTTGATCTATTTTGAAGGTGTTTCCAATTCTTGTCTATATTCTCCCCTCCCCTGACTTCACTTCCTACTAGGCTCCCGTGGCTCTGCTCAGCCCCTCGGGCCTCTGTCCTGTTTTAACTCCTGGTACCCTAGAGCCTCTGCATTTGCCATTGCCCCTGTCTGGAACATTCCCTCACCTCCTTCAGGACTGACTTGCCGGGTCCTACCCTCTTTAAAATTGCAGCCATAGTGGGTGCCTGGGTGGCTCAGTCATCAAGCATCCTATTTCGGCTCAGGTCATGATCTCGTGGCTCATGAGTCCGAGCCCCTCTGTGCTGACAGCTCAGAGCTTGGAACCTGCTTTGGATTCTGTGTCTCCCTTGCTCTCTGCCCCTCCCCGACTCACGCTCCCTCTCTCCCTTCTTCAGAAATAAATAAACATTTAAAAAAATTTAAAAATTGCAACCACAGCCTCCAACCCCTGTATACCCTTATTCTCCTTTCTTGCTTTAGTTTTCTCCATTAGCACTTACTGACCATCTGGCGTACTAATGGTACATAAATAAATAGTTCTTGATGTGTCTGACTTCGGCTCAGGTCACAATCTCGCAGTTTGTGGGTTCGAGCCCCGCTCTGTGCTGACAACTTGGAGCCTGGAGCCTGCTTCAGATTCTGTCTCCCTCTCTCTCTCTCCTCCCCTCCCCTGCTCATGCTGTCTCTCTCAAAAATAAACATGAAAAAAAACAGTTCTTGTTTATTGTTTACCTTGTTTGTTGTCTTTCTCCCCCACTATTATGTAAACTTTACCAGAATGGGGGTTGTCATCCATTTTGTTTACTCCTCTTTCCCCAGAGCCTGGTACATACTGGATTCTCATTGAAATCTGCTGAATGAATGAATGGATGTGCCAATATTAACCACAGAAAGTGCACATGCACACACACAACTTCTAAAGGATGAGTTAAAAATAAGATAAATGGGAGTTCTGATATTTGCTTCTTGCATCCTAGAAGATAGTCTTGCTTATTCTGTAGGGTGTGGAGACCCCCTTTTTGGAAATTACTCCTATGGATGATGGAGAGTATTGAAAGATGGTCAGCTGTAGAGTGACATGATAAAAAGAATATTTTAGGGGCACCTGGGTAGCTCAGTCATTTGAGCATCTGACTTCGGCTCGGGTCAGGATCTCACAGTCCATGAGTTCGAGCCCCACGTCGGGCTCTGAGCTGACAGCTCAGAGCCTGGAGCCTGTTTCAGATTCTGCATCTCCCTCTCTCTCTGCCCCTCCCCCGCTCATGCTGTGTCTCTCTCTGTCTCTCAAAAATGAATAAACGTCAAAAGAATTAAAAAAAAAGTATTTTAGAAAGATGACTCTGAGGTGATTGTGATAGGATGAAAGGGAAGGAAGAAAGTTTTGAATCTTCTAGCATTTGGTGATGGAGGGTGAAGGGGAGGTGTGAGCAGAAAGATGACAGATTTGTGGAGTGGGTGGGATGGGTGGAAATGACAGAGCTTCTTCTGGGGAGTAGGGAATTGGGAAGAGGATATCATGAGTTCAGTTGTTTAAATGTTGAGATTCAGCTGATCAGAGATCCAGATTTAACTATTTTCAGACGGGACTGGAGATGGGGAGAGGTCAACATTAGAAAGTTTGTTTACTTATTTACTTATTTATTTTAAAAAAATTTTTTTTGAAGAATCCTCTTTTTCATTGTGAACCCATGCAGTTCTGATATTTTTTTAAAGTTTACTTATTTTTAGTAATCTCTGCCCCCAATGTGGGGCTTGAACTCACAACCCTGAGATTAAGAGTCCCATGTTCTTTCGACTGAGCCAGCCAGGTGCCCCCTAGAAAGTCATATAATTTTTTTAATGTTTGTTTGTTTGTTTGTTTGTTTTTTAACGTTTATTTATTTTTGAGACAGAGAGAGACAGAGTGTGAGCAGGGGAGGGTCAGAGAGAGAGGGAGACAAAGAATCCGAAACAGGCTCCAGGCTCTGAGCAGTCAGCACAGAGCCCAACGCGGGGCTTGAACCCACGGACCGCAAGATCATGACCTGAGCCGAAGTCGGAGGCTTAACCGACTGAGC